AGGACAGCATTAGGACGTCTCTGTTTAACCCTTATCAGATTGACTCTGGTGGGACATCTGTCCTATTAAAGACACATTTTCCTGGATGTTTAATGTTGCTCTTTGTGAGTTTTAAATTAAGTGAGTTTCTGCACAGATGCACATGCACAGAGTGCTTATTAAATCAATTTATTTGAACCCTCAGAAATCAAATACCACCGAAAAGGACATGAATGCTGAGCAGGAGAGACAAAGTGGAAAGGAAGTATGATTATGGAGAGAGAGATGGATGATGTTATGTGGGAACCAGGAATGTTGTCTCCATATTGTTGATCCTGATTCCAACGAGAAGATGACATGCCTGGTTCTCTGTGACATGTCCTGTAGGTGAATAAAACAGGACAGAGGTTAGTTGAGTTAACTGTATGACAGGTGACAGGGCTCAGCCTCAGGGAGTAGGTTGTCCAAGGACACAGTAGCTGCTAGTAAATCCAGTGGGCAGATTCCACGTGGAACTTACTACTCCTCATGTGTCTGATGTGTGGGTATCCATTGGGAATTCCCCCAAGGATGTACATGTGGTAGGACCTGTCCTGTGTAGGATTGATTCTAGGATTTTTTGTGATTTCAGGATGTATGCTTATGGAGTGGTTCATCTAATAATGATTGACAGGATCTGTGATTGAGTTACACTTTTATTGTCTAATTTCAGGTTTCATCTTTAGTTGACTAAAGAATTATATTCACCTGTAAGCAGATGGGGTTTTTATCTTTGCATTTAAAGATCTCAACTTAAAAAAAATCATGTTCTGAAGGGAAATATACAACAAGGTGTGTTTCAGATAGCACGGTTGGAAGGTTTTCAGTGAGGCTGTCTCAGTTTTGTACAATTAAACGTTGCTTTTGCCGTAGTGGTAAGTTCTCTGTAAGTTCAGTTCTCCTGGACTTGGGCTGTATACGCACAACCATCAGGTCAGGACTGACTGGGAAATTAATTAGTTTTCTACAACTTCTGGCAATTCCTGGTTCTCTCTAAGGTCTGATATCTGCATAAATCCTGCATGGTGGTGCTTTCTCACCAGAACAGCTCAGCTTTAATTGGCCACTCGTCTGTAATGTAGTAAGGCTCAAGAGAAGAAAAATAACCCTAATGTAAAAGAAAAATTCTTTAGTGACATAATTTAAATGATTTAGGCAAAAGATATTGTCACCTACAACATTTGGCCCATGTGAAATCTCAGCATTTCCTTACTGATTTATTTTCTAGAGCAGCAGTAACAACAGGTCATTTTTACTTACAGTTCGTGGTGTTGAAGTCCTCTTTCATTCACAAGTCAGGACAGTCGTCTGGCAGGAAATCAAAGAGGAAAGAATAAAAAAACTACCGAGTATTACCATTTCCCTATATGTCCAAGGTTTCATTTTTTAAGTCATGGATTTTATAAAAGATTCACCATGGGAAAGAAATCTTAAATGAATCAGTTCGTTTCCTGACAGCCTATTTACATCCCCCATGAATGATGTATTCAGGAAAAAGTGTAGTTTCATTACCAAGACTGATGATTTTCAGAATATTTTCTTCTGGAATCTCCTTCCCGATTGTCACCGACTTGAACGTCTCAAAGAGTGCGTCATCAATGTCATCTCCTTTGGCTGAAAAATAACCATGCGTAAAGCAGAATTTCACCCATTAGAACCTCTGAAATATTCTGAATGCAGAATAAGAAACTGAATGTGCAGATCAGTTCTTCACTTGGTACATTTTTATCAGAGTTTCAAACTGACACAGACGTCTGCTGCCTGTGTTCAGGACACCCAGTCTGAGTCTGTAACTACTTTCTCTCCAGCATCAGCACCAAACTCCAAAGACTCATCAGCACCTGCAAGTATCTGGCGCTCAATTCATCACAGATGTGAAAAGTATTTCCTTCTTTATCAGCTTCCTAGAATCTATACCTGACATTCAAACCTTGTTCGGGTCCAAATATTCCAGAATTATGTTCTCGCCTCTCAGAAACACATTGATCCTGTGACACATAGTCATGGGAGATGATTTATTCTTTAATGAAACCACAGTTCTAATCAGTACCTTCTTCAGATAGACACGTGTTGTCCCAGGGACCAGAGCACACCTCGCAGTGAGCCCGTGTGGTCACCTGTGGTGATGTCCGCATTCGTCAGAACATGGCATGAGAGAAATTGAACAGGATAAAGATTTGTTTTAAGAGCTTCAGTTCCAGGGCTTACAAAGCATTGGGAAAGTGTCATAAAATGGAGAAACTGAGGTCAACTGGATCACAGCCATGGCTTGAAATTAATTGACATGTTCAGAAACTGCTCTAAAAGAACTCAATTTTTAAAATTCTTAAATTTTAACACCTGGGACTTATTTTTAAATGTCAGATGATCTGTTCCTTCCCACTGCTCCCAGCTCCTCTTTTTACGTTTGTTTCTTTGTAGATCACATCCCAGGACCCTTAATGAACATAATGATGTAGGTCTTGTCAGTGGGTAACGAGTTATGTGTGCACATGCTGACTTTCTGAATACAAATACAAATGGGGATAGTAGGATGAGTTACATACCAAACACTACGGTCACTATGGTCTTCGTGCCTTCTTCATCCACGTTGATGTTAGATGCTATCAGGACATTTTCGGATGCTTGAATTATTTTGAATTCATTTGTACCAGCATCTGTGGGTGAGCAAGAACAGGCATGTATACTGATGCGTCTTCATTGATTGGGCATTAGCTTCATTTAGCTAATCAGCGGGTTAGCCACTAGCACACCTGTGTTGGTCCGTGTGTCACTGCATCCATGCAGTGATGCTACGACTCGTTAAGATGGCAGGGAAAGTGGGGTGGAGCTTCCTTATCACCTCCTTCTTATACAGGTAACATGGTCACATCTTGCAGGCTTACTATGGTGTTTTCTACCACATGTGTTCTAAGGAAGGCAACATGTTCTTTTTTTTATCAACATGTGCATGTTATCACAAGCAAGTTCAAGAACTCTGCATATTTCTTTACCCCAACAATGCAGTTGATTTCTCTCTGGGACCAAAAGTAGCTCGCCTCTCATCACTTGGTGTTATGTGTGCTGCCCTGTACCAGGCACCTTCTGACACTGTGTGAATGACTGCATTTCCTGTGTCTCGCAGTCTCACTGTGTGACGTCACAGATGTGCAGAGGCCACTGCTGTGTGGGTCGGTGTTAGGACAGGATTGCTCACCAGGATATAGAGGAAGTGACCACCTCCCAGTGACCGCACACCCCCTGTGGGGTGCACCTCACCTCTCTGGCTCTGTCCATCCAGCTGCCACATTTCTGTTCAGAACGAGCGCTGATCTACTCTGTTACCTCTCAATCCATTCTCCCTTCTAGCCCTCCTGACACCTCATTGGAGTCACTCATCAGGATCTGATTTAAAACTGCCCAGCTGTTTTCCGAGAACACAAAAATACCATTGCCCACTCTCTGGAACCCTGAAACATCATGCTTCTGCCACAGCAAAGGCTAAGTTACAGCCAACACAGCTTGAGAGTTTCAGACAAGTGTGTGCATCTTACCCAAGGCCACCCCTAGTCCATGGGCCTTGGGTTCCACTGGGACAGTTTAAATCAGATTTCATGCATGTCCTCAGGTTCTCAGTCCCCACCTCTGTGATCCCTATGGTTTTACACAAGAGGGTTGCAGACAATTTCACAATGGGCTGTACGTGTTTTGAAGGTGAGGGAGGCAGTGAGAGTAAGCGCATCTCCTGGGCCCCCTGTTGTGATCAAGGCGCTGCTGGTGCTGTGCTGGCCGTCGCTGCATGTTACGTCCCCAGAACAACGCTGGGAGGCTGCAACCGCTCACTCCCAAAGACTGTAGAACAGGCCAGCTGTTCCTTCCTCTCCCTTCTTAAATTGCCTTGTCAATATCCAGGTACAAAGGATTCCCCAAAATTTGGAAATTTAAATGAGGAGTTATAAAAGCATGTATGATGCAGTGAAAAGGAAATAATAATATAGGAATACAAAATAAAAACTTCATTTAGGTAATCTCTTGATATATAAGGTTACTGATGAATATGTAGGGAAATCCTTCCAGCATACATTTTACTAATTTGTGTTCCTTGCACAACCCCTGTGCTGTTTCTTGTGTTACACCAGGGTTGGGACCTTATATCGATACATTTAAATTTTCATCAATTATATACCCGACGCCATTTAAATTTAGAAATGCTTTTAGGGCCGTTAGAAACAACATAGACATTGAAATCTCAGCCACCAGCCCCGTTGCTGTGAACACAAATGGTGTTTATGAAACAACAAGCTTTGTCTTTGAAATCACTATGGTTTTTTTGGAGTTAAGGTCCTTGGCTGTATAGGAATGGATTATGATGTTCTAATGTTGTTTTCAAAAAGTGTACTTTGCAGAATGAAATGTATGTGTAAACTCAAGACACACCCTTGAGACATTAGTACCTAAGATTGTTTGGAAGAACCTAGAAGTAGTTTCTTGCACCTGAGAACCTCCTGAAATAACAGTTCTACGTCCATGTGGTTAGTCTGTCATTCACGACATGCAAGATTGGGAGGGGCCATCCCAGCCATGTGAGGTAAGCCTTTGTCATGACAAAATACAGTGCCCCCCAAATTTAGTGACCAGTGCCTGGTTACACCTCTCATCTCTGGTGGAATTAGGATTTTAAAATGTGGAATTCTTGGAGGAATTTTAGGCCAAGATTCAACCCTAACATAATTTTACCCATAATAGGATCATACTTACAACGTATGATGTAAACACCATCTTCTCTCTTTATCCCATGGACAGTTTTTTTTACGCATTCTCCATCCAACCTTAAAAACAAAACATATTCAAGTTGTTTGATTAAAAATAATGAACAATTTGATATTTAACTAGGATTTTCTTTGTTTGACCCTCCCAAGACCCTATGTCACCTGTCACCTTAGTGCCTGTAAACAAGGTGAGAAGAGAAGAAATAAGTCCTCTAGCATCAAATAACTGTCAAGTGGCAAGGATGCCTGATTACACATTAAACCTGAGCCGAAATTCCAAAGATAAATTGGAAATACAAAAATGATCACGTTCAAACCATAATAAACATGAATAAGTCTAGAATTTGGGGAAAGAAAAGGAAAGTAACAAGGTGTTTATTGAAACCGATAAGTATCAAGACACACATTCGTTGTTTCACAACCCTGGCCCAAGTTTCTTACAGAGCATACTACCAAAGAGCAAGAAAAAAGACAAAAATGTGTTTAAGTGTATCCAAAACGCAAGATCTGTATCAAAATAGTGTAAGAGGATTACCCATTGAAAGACATAGGCATGTCTTTGTGTCAAAAAGTATAGCCCCATAAATGATCAGTTAAATATAGGTCACAAAAAGTATGGAAATGGTAAACAGGGAGCTAATACGGTCTTAGAATGTCTGACAGCTGACAGGTGCTGAGGTTGGACGTATATGTGTGTGTGGGTGTAATTTAATTATAAGTAGACTATCAAATATATACAACTTGCAGTCAATTGTATATATTTGTATATGTCTTAACCACTGTCTGCAAACCTAAAGCTCTTCGTTGTCTTCTTAATTCTTCTATCTTTCAAAATATCTATCTGTGCAAGCATGCTCCTAATACAACCCCTGCCACGTGGAGAACATTGCCTGAGCAGCACTGGGAGCTGTGGTGACCTTCATACATTCAGTGATGATTGTAAACCACTGAGAGGCAGCCATTCAGGGTCGAGGCGAGTTTGTCACCCACATGCGCACATCCTCTGCAGCCCAGTGGGAACCACATCCTCTGAATTCTGCATGAAGGAGCCCAGCCCCCAGGACTGTGGGGATGGAGACCAGGAGCCTCTTGTTCCTGCCCCATTGGCCCTCTTTCCTTTGAGGAGTTGACTCCAGTGGAGCATCTGTGGCTTTCCCTCTAAGCAAAGGCTCCCGGGCGCGCTCTAGAGGCTGGTCCTGGACCTGACTCAGGAATTCTGTAGATCCCTCTAAACCACAGGACCCCGGGAGTCACAGTCTTCCACCTGATGCATGCATTTCACCACAGACGTGGAAGCCACACCCTCTCAGGTTCAGAGATTAATGTCAGTTTTTCTTCCATGTTATTTTCACTTACTTGACAAAAAAGGTTAAGGTGATTATGCCATTTTCATCATCTAATTCAATATTACGCATAAAAGTGTGGAATGGGCCGTTCTCGCTGATCTTCTCTGGGTTACTGGCTGCGAGATAAATCGTTCTCCAGTCTGAAATCTGAAAGCAAAAATCCCCTTAGAGACGAGGGCATCTCTTTTCACTGTGTGCACCACCCTCCGTCGCGACTTTCCCTTCACTTCTGCACACCTGCGCAGATTACCTACCTGGCATGGACAAAGCAGGGCTCAAAAATAGTGGGAAAACCCAAGAAAAAGGGAGAACATGGAGTTGAGATATTTCAGGTGTTTGACTTACACCCTGAGAAATGGAAGAGCCCCAGAGGGACAGGTCTCTGGCTGACCCCCCTTCTCTTGTACAAGAACAGCAAAGATGCAGGAGAGCCCGGTGTCAGACAGTGGGGAGAGTATATGGAGATAGTATAGCAGTGCAGGTGCCAGTTAGTGGAGCAGTTCTGAGCTGGAGGTAGATGTCCAGCTGAGGTGCACAGAAATATGGATACACATAAGCAGAGCCCAAAGGGACACACACACACACACACACACACACACACACACACTTAAAATGGGACAGAATGTCCTCACAGATAGCTCTGGCTGTGGGAATCTTGAGTGATCCCTCCCAAGTGGAGGTCCATGGGCCGCACAAAGGACACCAAATACAAGAGTCAGGAACAGAATCTGCATCCTGGCGGTTCTTCTAGTCCTCCTCCTGGAGAAGCTGAGCGTGCCGTGTGCCAGTTGGTGGACAGAACCTGTGTGTGTGCCCCTTTTATAGTATCCGTGTGTGTCCTGGCCCATAATGAACCAATGGTTGTTAATCTAAGACACTGGCTACACAGACGTCGTCTTAGGACGTCCTGGTTGGCAGGGAGGTTTTTCTGGACATCTGTTGTTTTTCTTTGAGATTAGATTTCACAGTAACTTAAGTTAATCTGAACCTTTAAGTCGATCTTGACCTTCAGGTCAAGTGAGAAATCACAGTGCAGTTGAGATGTTGCAAGGACAGTGAGATTTGTTTTCTTGTCTATCTTGAATTCCTGAACGGGACAAGTGCAGGACACATTCTGCAGATTGGATGCGATTTCTTCAACACAGAGGAGGTATTTTTAAAGGTATCTTCTAAAGCAAAACGTGTTACTCTTTGGTTTGACAAGATTACAGAGATTCCCTGAGAGACCTTCGGAAAGTCTCCAGTCTCTGAGGGGAGGAACAGCTCAGCACAAACAAGGATCTTCCCCCTCTTTACATCGGGCTCTGGCATCCTTCTCACTAAGGGGGCCTTCCATGCAGACGCCCACAGCCTCTCGTGAGGAAGGCACACTGGTAGTTCATTTTCATTGCTCTATTTCCCAAACCCTTTTATTCCAATCTTATCTTTAACATATTTGCTCATTGACTCAGTTTTTTCTCCAGGCAACCAAGAAAGCTTGATTGCACTTCCTCTAATTTTTAGAAGTTTCCAAGGAAAAGGTGCATTTCCTATCTTTGCACCTCTGATTATTTTCAAGGACCCTGAAACAGCTAAAGACCTTCTTCTTGCTCCCTTCTCCCTCAGCGTTTTATTCACGTTCATTTTCTTTTCCAGTGATTCATGAGATAAATTCTCAAATTGTATTCAGTTCTGACTCTAGGAATGGTTCTCAGATGATGTCCCACTAATCTGAGAGAGAACACCCAGGGTCCTGAGTCAGTGTCAGCTGCTCCCAGGACGCACACAGCCTCAGCATCTCTGTCTTTGGTGTCTGACCTTTGAGGAGAGCGTGACTGAAAGTGGTCTTCCGCCTCCACCAACTTGCTGTTTGAAGCTTGTCTTCATACTCACAAGGACCAACACTTTTCATTCACTCTTACCTCCTCTTTTTCTCTTTTCTCTTTGTCCCCATATCATAGTTTCTCTTTGATTCACAGGTTCCTCTGTCTGTTGCCCTATCCAGTATTTCTCTGTGAAGTCTATGGAGGGGAAGGGTTTCATGTCTGAAAATGTCTTGAAAGTTGTTCTCTCACCTCCCTGATTGGGATAATTTCACAGGGTCATGGTCTCAGCTGACACCCCTCATCCACCTTTCTCACTGCATCCAACTCTGCCTCGTTCACCGCAACATTAGCAGGTTTTTCTTTTGGAGTCCTACCAACACCTGTTCCCTGGGGATGTGCACCAAGATCACTCCATCTTAGGAGGAGCTTTCCAACTGCCAGTCCAGAAGGAATTAAACGTTAGGTACTTAAGAGATAATTGCAGCAGCTTGGTCATTGGATCCTGCTCATCCATATTTCAGACCTACAAATGACACAGATCTTTAATTTCAATTGATTTGAATTCATGTCAGCCACAGTGTTCCTTGACAGTATGGCAAATAATTACGGAAGCTTCCTACACAAATGTGAAGGTTTTAATCCACATACATTGCTAATCCATCCTCTGTAGATGTTCCTGGTCTTTCCTTTTCAAATGTGTCCATCTTTCTGGAATCTGTACCCCATCTCTGCGAGTTTATCCGGCAACTTCTTTCTTGTTTGTCTGTTTTCTCTGTGATCAGTTTTTACATCTTAGATTCACAATTCCTCTCTAAATAGTACAAGGAAGATTTTGGGCCTGGCCACCAGGCACACCTGGTTCCCTCACGGATTCCTAACCAAGGGTCCAATGTGCTTAGAATCTGAGTTGAGGTAATTCAACACAAGCCCACTTTCAGAGATCTGATCCTGGGGAAATTCTCTCCCCTAGTGTCTCTCAACTGGGGGCCAGGCTCAGAGATCCCCAGAGTGTTTTACTGATGAAGCTGCTTCTGATGCTGGGTATTCAGTGTTGTCCCAGGACCACGTGTTTCTACTCAGGACCCCGTGAGACGTCACTGTACCTGGTCGCACAGCACACTTCTCAGCAGAAGGCTGTGGGGACCGCTTCCCAAAGCTTGCCCTGTGTCCAGAGTCCCCCAGAGTACTGGTCCCCTTGGTAGGTCTCTCTGTTCCTAACCAGGAGCTGTGGTTTGACCAGATCCGGGAAGGCTTTCTAAAGCTGTTTGAAGGGTATTGATTCTCAACCAGGGGGCACCGTGCCTCCCAGGAGACACAGTTGATATCAATGGTGACATGTTTGATTGTCCCAGTGGGAGAGGGGGGTTTTGACCCCTTCCACCTCGTGGGCAGAGATAAAGCATCCTTCTCTACAGAATACAGTGTGCAGGACAGCCTCTCACACCCAGAGTTATCCAGTGATGTGTCAGCCATGGTCAGGGTGAGAAATGCTGATTAATAAGAGTTAAGAAGCTCCTCTCACCCAGAATGCAGCCTCAGTCCTGTGGTGACTGCACGTCCACACACGACCTGTTTCTTTTCCTAATTCCTCTGCATATAGTCATCCTCTCTCCTACTCTGTTCCTGCCGCACTGGACTTGAGATGACTTGGGCCGTTTTCTACTTACTCTGCCCACAGTATAGCCACCTCCACGATCCTAAAACTTTTCTGCTTCCCACTTTGTGAGCATTTTTTCTTTCCATAAGCTGTCTTCATCCGCAAAAGAGTCACTTCCCCAAGGTCACAGTCCCTGGCTGCAACCCCAGTGCTCTGTATTGGCGAATGAATGGGACAGTGTTTGTCTCTGGGGATTTCCCTTTTCGATGGGCACATGTGGACAACCATGCATGTAAATGGGAACATTTGGTAAAAAGAAACCCTGCAGGACCAGTTTAGGACCTAGAGTCCAGAGCCATGTCCAGGGGTCTTTCGGGTACACTCACTGGAGGATGGTTGAAGTAGAAATGGTTCTTGACAGCAGAGTTCCTTGGCCAATGAAGCAAGGCTTTTGAAGGGCCGTTGGGACTGAGTCAAGTGTGTTTAGAAGGGAGCTGGAGTTGGCCAGCATCCCCCACGCGGGGCTAGTTGTACCTGAAGTGCATGAAGAAAGGGCAAGACAGTTATGGGGAAAGTTCACTCACACAGTTGTCGGTGTTGAAAGAAGGAGGGTCCCGCCCTGAAACTGATTCCCAGAGAATAGGGAGTCTTGTATTAAATCATAAGCCAGGTTGTGCTTTTTAGCCCAGCTTCTGAGGCCACCTCAGTAGTCTTTCTCAGGAAGGGACCACCATGTTTCCATCAAATGTCAAGGGTCGGGAAACACTTTGAGGTTTTCAACAGCCTCAGCCAAGAACAGCTAAACACGAAATGTGAGTGGCGGGGGCAACATCTACACCTGATGTCAAATTTTCTCACTCGTCCTTTTCTTATGTCATTCTTTGCCTTTGAAAGTCCCACAAATTCATCCATTGGTGAAGAAAACAGAGATTTAAAAAAAGAAAACCTGACACACTCTATGACCTTCATATTTCTACTCGAAACTTCTCGAAATTTTTATGCAAATAGGCTCCAACAGGACTAAATGTCATATCCTAGGAATGCCAGAGAAGGCCGCTTCCAGGACAGTGGGTCCCCTCTGTCTCTTTTCTGTCTCTACCGTTGACTTGATGTCCCTGTGTTGGTCTTGGTCGGTTGCTGTCTCTTTGGTCTTTGTTCCCATTTCATCATGCGTGTGTGTTTTACTGAATGATGGACACTCTGTTTCCAGTGATATTTCCATCAGCGTGTCCCTGTACATAGCCTTTGATCAAAATGTTTATTGTGAATTCAAAGGGAATTTTTTTTCCATGCCTCCACCCTGCTCTAAGTCATGGGCGAGGATTCGCTAAGGTCACCTTGGGATCAAAAGCCAATGTGAAGAACAGTGACTCCCAGACCAGCCCTTCTCAAGGTGTGTGCACTCAGGGAGAGAATGTTTCAGTCCTCTGTGGACTGACTTGATTTTCCCTTCATTTTCTGGCAACTTAGCAGAATATATACGGTATCATCAGTATACAAGAC